ATTTACGAAATTCAGTAATCATTTAATGAGATTTCCTCTTTAGATAGCCAAGCTTTCTGAAGCATTAATAAAATAGATTCTGAAGAGTTATTTTTTATTTCTAGTTCTCTTAGCAATGCTAACGTAATCATACCATATATCAAATCCAACCAACGATCAACTCTTATAATAATTATACATTCGCGTTACTTGCAATAATGCAAAAATATATATCAATAAAGTTGACATTTGCCCGAATTCTATGTTTTATTTTTTATTTATCAAATAAATTACGGAGCAATAAAATACATGTCTATTCGCTTTATGTGCCTATTTCAAAAGAAATGATACTGATACAAATAAAATACATATATTAGATACACAAATTCCAGGTACATGAAACAGAATTCGTCTCTAACTATTTTTTGGTAAATTTTTTAATTCGGGCCTTCTTACTAGCGGGGGAATTATCGGCTGTTACACGATCTTTTAACAATCCCACAATACCTAAAACCCGTTTTACCCTTTTCGAATAGAGCCAAGATCTTCTTTGAGCGCCATCTTAGAAAGATTGATTTGATATTCACTTTTACTATCACAATAAAGACCATCGGTAGCAAACATGATGAAGTGTCAATAAAGTTTCTATAAATTTATTTACAACCCTTTCATCTGAAAATTGTACTGGGATTTCAGCAGACCGGAGATGGTAATATCAATGTACATTTCTCATATCTCAAGCAAGTAAATTTAAATGTAACTTATTACCTGCAATTTGTATACCTACAATGCCAAATTGAGTCTAATGCATCCAAAAAAGTTCATCATTATATTCTCTCCATAATTTAACATTATCATTGATCTTTTTTGAACAGTACAAATTAAGTAGAAACATAAGTTCAAAAATTGTTTCCCAATATTTTGTTACAAACATGATATCTGGATATCTCCTCATAAATCCATCTCCTTTTTTATTAGCACTGGCAATACTTTGTTTTTCCAATGTACTGATGAAAAAGGAATCACTAATAGGAAGATTTTTTAACAAAGCCCAAATTATTGATAATATGATAGTTGACTAATATGTCCCCTCACTTATGTTTTTGCAAATTCAGAACTGAAAGTAGAATTGTTTCAAATATCTTTTAAAACACTAAGAATTTTTTTAATTACATTTGCAATATTTTCTTCAGACTCTCTCCAAATTTTATCATAAACTAATTTAGCATATATCAGTCCATCTTCAAGTTTATTTAAATCTGTTACAAACTTGTTACGCATTTTTTAAATGATAGTAAAGAGTTTAGGTGTCATTTTATGAGTAAGTTTCTAAGACAAGTTTCAGAGAAATAATAGATATACCATTAGTAAATGAAGCACTGTCACCAGCAGTTCCTGGTTTCCTTAAGGACAAACCAGTGAAGTGACTTAATGATTCTTTTAAGGAGTTTATAATCCTTTCCCAAAGGTAAGACTATTATTAGTAGTTTTAGAAGGCATCACTGATTCAATTATTTTAGAAAGAGAATTAGATCTTTTATTTAACTTATTCCAATATCTTTAAATTTTATCACTACTTTTAGTATTAATATCTACTCATTAATTATTTTTCAGTTTTATTATGGTTAAGTAATATTCCAATTCCAGGGTTTATAATAATAGTTTGTAATTAAATTTATTAACTTAAGAATAATATTATTATACAAATATACAATCAAGTATTTAATCCTATAATATTCATTATTTCCCTATTAACTATTATATTTTTATATTTGATAATTATTTTTATAGTTTTTATTTTATATTTCCAATATTTATTATTTTATTAATTCAATTGTAGGATAATTTTTATCTTGGAGTTACAAATTATAAAATTAAATTTATTAATTTCAAATAAATACAAATTATCAAAATTCAAAATTATAAAATTGTAAACTAAGAAATCAAGAATGGGCTTTGACCCTTTTTATAAGTATTTTATGTGATTTACATTACTGTGCTACTATGTGCCTTCATGTGCACTATTTCTATTGTTTACTATTTTTTTATATTACTTACTAAATATATTTAATACTATTGATACTAGATGTTACAAATAATAATAAGTAATAATAATTATGTTATAAATTAATAATTATGTTTGTGCAACTAAATATCATGTGTACACATGATCTTGTACTATTAACATATGACTAATATGTATCACTAAATATAAATATTAGTTGAAATGTTATTAAAATATTACTATTTGTTAAATAAATAAAATTTATTAAATATTACTATTATTTAAAATTATTGAATAATAGTATAGTGGACTTTTTAGAACAATTTTAATAATTTTTTGTTAACTTCTAATCATTTTCTATATATTTTGAATTTTTTTCTGTATATCTGAATAACTTTTATAAATCTTATAAATGATGTTTTTTAACTATATAACACATGTGATATTTTTTTTGATATCATATTTGATTACTATTTAACTTTCTATTACTGTGAAGCATATTCTACAAGGTATGCAAAACAGTTGCGAAGTGAAACAAAGTATAGTTATCTATTTAGTTAGTATTTAGCTTTCTGTCACTGTAAGCATAAACCTTTAAGTGAATACAAAATAGATATGAAGCATAGCGAAGTATTAATTATCTATTTAGTTTGCTACTAGTTTTCTATTTTAATAGAGTAAAGTAAGACAATAGTATCTATAAGCTTTCTATTATTAAGACAGATAGTAAAATATAAATAAAATTTTTTAAATCAATTCTGGTGTTTTTTTTAATTCCAGACTTAGTTCCACCTGGAAGGTTCTGATGCAAAACATAGTAAAGGATTTATTTCCACTTGGAAGGTTTTTGAGATGACAAAAATATATAACAAAAATATGAAACATTAATTATCTATTTAGTTACAAATAGTTTTTTATTTTTGTCAAATAAAATAAAGCTATAATATTCTATAAGTTTTCTAATAATAAAAAAGATAGTAATAAAATATAGCAAATTTTTAAGACAATTTTGATATTTAATGTCTCAGTTACAAAGTGTTCTGTTCTACAGTAAAATAAGGATACTCTACATCTAACACTACTGGTTAATTGATTTATTGATACTTTATGTCAACTCTTGCTAATTTCCAATCTAAAGTCTTATAGAATAAGGATATTTTGTATCTGTTAAGTATAAAACTGTAAAATACAATATCCTTTAATATGTTTTTTATACATTCCAAATACAGAAGCTATAGACTTATTACATATATTGCAAAATACATATTTTTTAGTTTTTCAATATTTGTGACATCCTTTATAACATTAACATTCACATCTATGGACTTCTCTAGAGTTGTGTATATATTCATATATATATTCACCTTGCATTTTAATTAATTTATATAACTGAATAATTATTTAAATTTAAAGATCTGGTTATATAAAAAACTCTTTTCATTATCAATTTTTTAATCAAAAATACACAGTAAATAAAATTTGAAATTGTTTTTACTTCTTCTAAAATTTATTAGAATAACTTTAGTTTTACTATAAGTGAACACTCAAATATTTGACCATGGAAGAAAGTGACTAATTATTCCTTTGTAGAAAGACTGACCACAGTTAAAAATAGGTTTAAGTTTAATCCAATTGAAAATAAACTAAGAACTACAAATAAAGGAACTGTAATAATGTCTACAAAAACTCAAAAGAAAAATATTTCAGAAAGCTCAAATACCAGTAGTATTAATTAACTGATTGTAGAAATCTTGGTTAATGAAAACACCCTAAACACTGAACTAAACATTATAAATATTGAAGAAAACAACCATATCAGTAACAATACCAATGATAATCACGACTGGCAACAAGTTAAAAATAGAAAAGGCAGACAAAAAGTAAATAAAGATGGTGAAAACAAACAAGCTGAAGACTTAACAATTGAAAAGGACAGAGAATTCATCATCTCATATGAAGACATTAATGAATATCAACACAGATGGTATAAAGCCTTGGGAATGAAGAAGTATAAACTTTGGATATACACTCTGTGTATTCTGGATAAAACTATTAGTAATAAAATTGAAAAAATTAAAAAATTATTCAGAGTAGAAATGAAATTAATTACAGTTACTTCAGAAGTTTTCAATAAATAAAGAATGATTTCTTCTTTCTTTGACAGTAAAGAAAAAATGAATAAAGTCAAAAATATTAACAAAAGTGTAAATGAAAACTAGTCAAATTACATGCATAGAACTGTAATCTTTAAAAGGAATTTTCAAAAAGAAAATATACATGGTGTTAAACTGTAAAACATTTCAATTTGAAATGATGTATAAAGAACTTTCCTTTGAAATTTCTACTGTTTTTGAAAAGATTGAAAGAATGAACCTCAAAACAAATGACATGTGACAATCTACAGTTATAATTTTTAAAAAAAAAATAGTGTAGATAAAATTCTTGAAAACTGGAACATTCTTATTGGAGATGACTTATTAAGAGTTATACCGCTTGATTTTACAACTGAAAAACTTAAATCACATAGTCAATTTACTGCTAAAATAATTGGTCCGCCAATTATAGGTTCTGCTCAAATTCAAAATGCTAAATTTCAAATTCCATATTACTAATTGTCAAAATTCCAAATCTCAAATTATATCAAATCCCAAATTCCAAATACTATAAAAATTGAATTTTGACAACTGAAATGTCAAAATAATTTGGAATTTGCATAGCATGTATATTGCCAATTGATATCACTGCATAAGAACTCATGCTTACTATTAGCCAAACTGGTACACAGACTTGTTATTTTCCTAGGACAAAAACATATAGACATAAGGGAGAGGCAATCTTCTTCTTTATCTTCCAAGAAGCAAGAGACACAACTCTTAACAAAACTTAAAGTAACAAAGCATTAGTGATAACTATTAAAATTGTTGACTTTAAAATAAAAATATGTAATAAGTACTGCTCAACAGAACACTTTATTAAAGACAGTCTGCTTATGTTGAGTGATACTAAATTCAAGGAGAAAAAAGTAATTAATATTGAAAAATTTGATGTGATTTATAAAAAATTTAATTTTAAATATCTTGCCTCATTAAATAAACAAACTGGAACTAAAATATATGTAGATGTAACTAAACAGAATCAACTTGATAATTCTATTTTTACCAGAATTATAAATAACAGATTATCTTGTATAGAATTGTTTCTTTTAGATATAGCAAATGAATTAACTGTACTTGAAGAATACATCAGGAAATTTTTGAAAGTAAATATATCCAAATATTTTATAGTTTAGAAAAAATCCAAATAAATTTATGAATTTATATGAATATATTCACATTGTTACCTCTGCTTTTATTTTTATATTTAATTATTTATTTATTTTATTATTATATATTTATTCGTATATGTATTATTTTATTATTAATTATTATATATTTCTTATAATTATATATAGTATTACAGTAGATCAATTTAATAGTCTGTAGTACAAATTAGATATTATTACTTAAATTAGTAAATT